GTAAGTGATCTGGAAGACAGAACAACGGAAATCACCCAATTAGAACAGCAAAAAGAAAACAAATTTTAAAAAAATGGTAACAGTAAAAGGGACTCTGCGACAGCAAGCGTATCAACATTCACATTATAGAGAGTCCCAGGAAGAGAAGAGAGAAAGGGGGATAAAAATGTATTTGATGAAATTATTGCTGAAACTTCCCAAACTTGAAGAAGGAAATATATTCAAGAAGAGGAGGCACAGAGGGTTCCAAAAGCAACGAACCCAAAGAGCCCCACAACAAGACATATTATAACAGCAAAAGTTAAAGAGAGAATTCAAAAGGCAGCAAGAGAAAAATAAAGAGTCATATACAAAGGAACCCCCATAAGGCTAACAGCTGATTTTACTGGAGATCGTCATTCTAAGTGAAATAAGCCAGAAAGAGAAAGAAAAATACCACATGATATCACTCATACGTGGGGTCTAAAAAAAACAAAAAAAGAAGATACTAATGAACTTATCTACAAAACAGAAACAGACTCCTAAGTAAATAAACCTATGGTTACCAGGGGAAAAGGGGTAGGAAGGGATAAATTGGGAGTTTGAGAATTTCTAATACTAACTACTATATATAAAATAGATTAAAGAAAATTCTTCTGTATTACAGCACAGGAAACTATATTCAATATCTTATAGTAATTTGTTATGAAAATGAATATATATTTATGTATGACTGAAACATTATGTTGTACACCAGAAATTGACAAATTGTAACGTACTATACTTCAATAGAAAAAATTAAGTAAAAATTAGCTAATATATATAAAAAAAGAATACTGTGAAGAACTTCACATCAATAAATTTGAAAATTACATGAAATGTACAAATTCCTAGAAAACCTACAACACTTCAGGGGTTAAAAAATTGTGTCAAGAAAATAAAACAGGAATGGTCCTAAAACCATTCAAAAAATTGAATCAGTAATCAAAAATCTTCCCACAAAAATTCCAGGCCCAGATGGCTTCACTGGTGAATTCCATCAAATATTCAGGAAGAAATAATTCCAATCTTACAGTTTTCTAGAGATCAGACAATATAAAAAGGGCACCCTCTCCAACTAATTTATATAAGGCTTACATTCAATACCAAAAAAATGCCAATCTCTTTAAACAAGTGACGCAGCATTTGCAATCAGTTAAAATTAATCTACAAAAAGCCTATAGTAGGTATGATTAATGGGGAAACGCTGAAAGCTTTCCCTTTGAAATCAAGATGCCTGCTATCAGCACTTCTATCCAACACAGTGTTGGCAATTCTAGCCAAGGAAAAAGAAAAAGATAAGGATTGGGAAGAACTTCACGAAAGTGTCATTATTGGCGGGTATTACTGCTTAATTAAAGAAATCTAAAACAATTAATGGATAAATCATTAGAATTAATTAGAATTCAGCAAGATGCTAGATACAAAATTAAAATATAAAATCAAGTATATTTCTATATACTAACAACATTTAAATGATTTTAAGAAAAATACCAATAACAGCATATTAAGCACTTAAAGGAAAGCATCTAAAAAATGTCAAGATTTCTTGAAAGATCTCTAAAAAAAGATTTATTTTAAAATTTATTTAAAATTTTATTTTAAAAACAAAAGATCTAAATAAATGGAGAAATGTACCATGTTTATGAACTAGAAGATTCACTATTGTAAAGATATGATTTCACCCACTAAGTAATCTACACATTCAATGCAATCTCAATCAATAACCCTTCTTGTGGAATTTGACAAGCTGATTCTAAAATGTACAGGAAAATGCAAAGAATCAAAAATCACCAAGACACTTAAAAGAACAAGGTGGGGAGATCTGCTCTCTCAGACAAAATAATTCAGACAGTGTGGTACTGACATGGGAATAGACAAAACAAATCAATAGGAGAGAAACAGCCCAGAAATAGCCTTGATTTTTTTGTTTGTTTGTTTAGCTGAAGTACAGTTGATTTTCAATCTTGTGTTAGTTTCTGGTGTACAGCACAGTGATTCATTCACACATATATTATACATATTCTTTTTCATGTTCCTTTTCATTATAGGGCTATTACAAGGTATTGAATATAGTTCCCTGCGCTCTACCATAGGGCCTTGTTGTTTATCTATTTTATATATAGTAGTTATATATCGTAAACAGCCTTGATTTATAACAAAGGTAGCACCAAAATGAAAATGACATGGAAAAGTGGCTATCCAAATAACAAGAAAAAAATTAAACTGGACCCCCACCTCAATCCTATAAACAAAAAATCAACTACAGTTTTATGAAAAACAAAAAACTGTAAAGATTTTAGCATATAGGCGAATGTCTGATGAACTTGGGGTAGGGAAAAAAGTCTTAAACAGGACAAAAACAGCACTAGCTATAAAGGAAAACATATTTGACTATCTTTAATTAAAAACTCACACTTATCAATTATCTTAAGAGTGAAAAGGCCAGTCACCAACCAGGAAGATATCTGCTTCTGGTATACTGAGAAAGATTCCTATTCAGAATAGATACATAGACATATACATAGTAGTGTAAGTCAGTAAGAAAAAGGACAAAATATCCAAGAGAAAAACAGGACTCCTCCCTCCCTAAAATGCACATGCACATGAAGAAGTGCTCAGTCACCAGCAATCAGGACCAAGCAAATTAAAAGCACAATGCAGTCATCACTTCACATTCCTACCAGACTGGCAAAAATCAAACTCTGATAATACCCAGTGTTGCTAAGAATGGGGAGCAATGGAAATTGTCATACTCTGGCGGCAGAAATGTGAATCAGATGTACAGGTTGTTTGGCAGTACCCACAAAAGATGGAGGTAGTTACATTCTATGTCCCGGAAATTTTACACACACACACATATCCCTAGAGAAACATGTACAAGAATGTCCATAGCAAACTGCTCATTAAAAAAAAGGCTATCCAAATACCCACATTAAAATGGTTCAGTTGTGGTACTGTCACACAATGGCATGCCATTCAGCAGAGAAAATGAACAGACTAAAAACATGTGCAACAATGTTAACTGAATCTCATACACGTGTTAACCTAAAGAAAACAACTGTGGGCCCGATGCTGACCATCCAGATGCTGGACTACAATTTGGTTCCATTTTTTGGAAGCTAAAAAAAAGATATAAAACTAAATCTTAGTATTCAGGGATGCATGCTTCTGTGGTGAAACCATTAAGTAAATCAAAGTAATTACCACCAAAAAGGACACAGCCACGTCAGGAGAGGAGGTAAAAAGACATACGATGAGGTAAGAATGGATAAGGAGATTTTGGAGGCTGCCTACTCTATCTCTTGGCCTAGTTGGTGGTTACAACAGTGTTCACTTTATTATTTATTTATTTTACATTTGTTTTTTGTGTGTTAAATGTCATAAGGAAAGGCTTGGAAAATAATACATATATACACACACATACATACATACATATATACACACACACATATATAAATACAACTGCATAAAATAGCCAGATTACTAATGACAGCTGCCTACAGGGAGGGGACCTATATGAGGGATTAAAGGACACTGCAGAGGAAGACTGTTCACAGTACTGTTTTTCAACTTCTACATTCAACCTACAAAGCATGGAAGATTTAATTATGGTAAGAAAATGTGTTTTCAGCCTTGACAATGTCAAAGTAACACATGCAGATAACACAAAGTGAGAGATGGGAGTGGGCTAAAAATGGGAAAGGAAGCCATACTTATAAAGTGAGGAGTCAACAAAAAAATACATATTTTAGTATATTATATAATTTGTAAAGGTAACAGAGGAGCAAAAAATAATGACAAAATTACCAAAAATCAAAAATATGGGAAAGGATTAATGGGGCACTATAGGTTAGCCAAATCTTCAACATCATAGCAGGAAGTCAACAGATAACATTTACAGTTCATAAATCAATGATGAAATATAAGTAACCATCTGAAAAGCTAAAAACAATAAAAAGATGAGGGGCAGCAGCTGCATTGTATTATAAGTGATTAGGTAACTATTTGAGTTTTAAATATGAATATATATACTGACTTGATTAAAAAAGAAAAAATAATTTCACTTAGAACATACACATCTAAGGACATAAGGACATTTATTTTATCAGGTATAAAATAATATAATATTGACTCAAGGTATACGGGCTAAAGAGACCAAAATTCAGATCTGCTAATACACGACAGAGCAGAGGGATTCAATTGCTGAGATTATTAACTCTGAAGATGAGAATAAACATATCCATCACTTGGTAAATGGCCATTGATTAAAAATCCAAGCCAAGGACTATGCATGGTCGGTAGGTAGTATTATGTCTTTAAAATGGAGATTTGATCATCTGGCTCACCTCTTCGAAAAGCTGGTAATTAAAAACAAACAGGGTAGGCTCCAAACATTTTTGATTGGTCACTGACGGCGTGTCAGTCACAAGAAGCTGCCCGCCTTAGTTAGGCAACTAACAAGTTATTTTTAAGAAAAATGAGTAAGCAGTAAAGAGGCTGAAAAAAGATGCACAACTTACGAGAATACTCAATAATCTAGGCTAAGAGCTAGCCATGGTAATGTATCTTAAAAGACATTTAAATGAGTATCAAAAGAGCCAGGGGCCTAAGCTGATACACAGTGGCAGAATAAAAAAATACAAATAGTGAAATAAATAATTCAAAAAAAATTTTCTGAAGGTAATGAGGCTTCAAGAAGGTAATGAAAACATTGGTGTGGTAAAGGTGAGAAAGATCTGAACATGCCTGGCTTTCAAAAAACTATTCAATCAGAATATGCAAGGATGAGTATGCTGATCAGATTCAGGAATTACGTAAAACAGAGAGCGCTAAGAGCAGGCAGTTAAAATGAGGTATTTCAAATATTTTCTACTTCAATAATAAGCTTTAGTTAGCACACAAGTTAATCCAACAATCCTAAGAATAAATAGCTTACAGGGCAGTACAGCATCCCACTGTGGCAAAATAATCACTTTACGCTAATTGTTAAAAGAAGAAAAAAGAACAAGAAGTAATCCTTTAATTGTTAGCAACTGTTTCTGATCTAGCATTATGATGAAGGGGGAGATTTATATCTAGGGGTATAAACAGATACCTATTATCTATGGAGATCAAAGTAAGAATCAAATTTCTGAATCCACCTAATTCCACTGGTGTCTTTAGAGTGCCTCCCATTTTTTAGGGTTAGCAGTTTTCAGGAAGAAGTTCTAATTACCCAAAGGAATATGAATTAGAATTTGTTTTTCCTACCTTAATAGGAAATAGGGAGAAAGAATTATTCCCTACATGAACAAGGAAGAACCAGGCATCAGGTTTATAAAGTTGTGAACTCAGATCGTTAATGTGGGAAAGACAGGTGGAAATGATTACCCAGGGCCAGAGAACTCACCTTCCAGAAAAGCAAATTCATCCACAGCTTCTATTGCATTATCTGAAACACAAGATAAAGGCCTACTGACTAACTCTGGTCACTTGGGCATCAACCTCTTATAAAAGCACAACCCACACAGTGAAGGCATGAGGCTTTACACAAGGGAGGGCATTTATAAAATTTATCCCTTGCTATCTTGAGATCCACATCTACTCCACCACCAAATCTTACTTATCAGCTGTCTCTCCACAAGAGTTAAAAAAAAGTCTCGGTAAATACTGTTCACTGCGGGGAATCTCTTTGCTTTAAGAGTCATCAGAAGAGTTTGTGAAGATTATATATATAACATATACAAGTAAGGTAAGATTATGGTATATGAAAGCTTATACATATGCAAGGGTTACCAGCTAGAAAGTAGTCAGAAAGCAAAACTACTTTCTAGGTGGGGGAAAAAAAGTCAAGCCTGGTACAAGGCAGAAGGTATAAAGGGGTCTAGTTAACTTTGGCAACACCTAGAACTCCTCTCGTTCACTGTCCCAGCACTTCTCCAGCCACCCAAAGCACAGATTCAAAAGGCAGGATTTTTCTGGCACTGAGGCAGTCCAACAGAAAGCATCGTAGAAAGAGACCTGGGGCACCTCTCCCCTTCCAGTGCTGCCTTCTCAACCAGTGTAAGAGAAAGCCTCACCCAGCCCTCCCTTGTCTGCGCCCAGATGCAAGATACCAGTGACACGCTACCCAGATCTCTCCTCTGAAGGGTCTTCCTTTTCCCTTGCTGAGCACAACAGTAGGCATCTTTTGCAATGGTCTCCACAAACAGTTCCTGTGAAGAAAACAAGCAGGGGCACAAAAAGTAAAAATTCTAATAAACAAACTAAAATTGAAAACTTAAAAAAAAAAAGAAAAGAAACAAAGAGCAGAGTTGTACCGATGAGTTTCAGCACAATTCTTGTGCGTGCTTCGGTCTGTGAGTGCGGCGCCAGAGGTGAAAGGGGGCTCGGATGAAGGGGGCCGCTCTCCGGGAAGGCTGCACTTGACTTCACGAAGGTCTAGTCCCCTTCACCCTCCCGCAGTGGCCCATGACACATCCGTCCCTCCCTCCCTTTTAAATCCACCCCGCTCACGAACCTGCGACTCCTACAAGTTCTGTTAGTCTAGAGATGCAAATTAAAGTCGTGCCCCCGCCCTCATGAAGAGGCAGGTGTGTTAACAAACCAATGCTACAGTTCCACGTGATCCTTTTTCTGTCTTCCCTTCCTATACTCACATCTCAGAATCCGGCCCCAACACCTCTCGTACCTACTTCACCCCCGCCACCCACCCCACCCCCGCCTGGGTCCTCGGCATACCCCGCCCCAGACCCAACTCTTCCTCCGGCGCTCCCCAAACCTGGCCCCGGACACCGCTAGGCCCCGCCCCACCAAGGGC